CACATATTTGCATTTTCTTCCTTGAATGCCAAAAATAAATGATAGAATCTGATCCTCCAGTCCAAGCATCAGCAAGAAAGGAAGCATCAGGAGGCACCCATTTCAAACAAGAAGCCTCAAAGGTAGAATAGGGCTCCAGCAAAGGCCAAAGCAGCATCAGTTCCAAAGGTAACAAATGCCAAAACAGAACAGAGAAGAAAAGCAGGCATCCAAAGTTTGATGCAGAAATCACAAACAGTTCAAGGGGGTTCAAATATAGTCTCTGGAAGATTCCATTCTCTTTGAAGCCATAAATTTGAGGGAGATCTCCGATATCCTCTGCTTAGATGAAGCTTGAGCTTAATGTTATCGATAACCTCTTTGTACACAGTGCGAACATCTTTGAAGGAGTTTCTAAATAACCGACAGTTCCTTTCTTTCCACACAATAACTTCTGCAGGCTCTTACCATATAAGTTTTTGGCACACCATTGAACAGTTCCAGGCCAACTCAAGCGAGGCCATTGAAGCTTACATTTCATTTGCATAAAGGTCCAGATTCTGAAAGTAAAAGAACACTGGAAGAAAAGGTGCTCATGGGTTTCAATGGCACCCCTATAGAAAACGCATTGTGTTGATTGCAAAAGGCCATAACTGAAGAGCTTATCCTTGGTAGTCAATCTAACCAGGGAATAAAACTGTAACGTTGTATAGCACTTGAGTACTAGACCATCTTGGACCATTCTTGAAATTGTCCTTTATCTCTAAGGGATTCCCAAACAGATTTAACATTGTAATGGAAAGTGTTTGAAGGAATCCATTGCACATGATCCTCCATGCTCAAGTTAGGCTTGAAGCTAGGGGGGTTTTTCTCTCTGCAGCTGAAGAAAAGCACCATTGGGGCTAAGAATTTTCTAAACATCTATAATTTTGATAATTGAACCAAACAAATTGTAAGGCAGTACACCGCCAAATTATTATTTGGATAGTGATTGGATCTCGCTTTCAGATGCTATCATTCGAGAAGTAATTTAATAAAATAGGATGTAATGTCATACGAAATCCCTCCAAGTAAAATATAGCAAAAAGATCAAGTCTAACTGACAAGAATCAATTTAATGTCCTCGGCTAGGCTAAGATATCAAGACCGAGGTGATGTATTTCTTCACTAATCTTGGTGACCCATGTAGGTTTGGATTTTGGTTTCTATTTCTTTATTTAATCACCGATGAACCAACCCCTTTTTTAGGGAATTTTTTCCTTGCTTGAGGTCCCTTTTTACACAGTGATCATTGTCATTTATAACAGAATATTAGGGGAATATTCGGGAAATGTTTTGTGTGCGATTTATTGCCTAAGGCATGGTTTGATGGTGAAAATTTTTTTCTACCCCTTCTGATAATTTATGTATTACTTGTTGTCTTCTAAAATCTTATTGCCTTTTGTATATTTTTCGGTATCAACAACACCCATAGATATGCAATGGGTGCTCTTAGCTGAATCTAAATTGTCCCAATTTCAAATTTTATTAGTTATGTAAATTTTAATTTATTTGTTGAATTCACAGACAGATTCGTGTAGTTGTATTGAGACCATAGTTGAATCTAGCAAATTTAAAATTAAATATTATTTCAATTCTTACCCGACCATGCTTTAATTCATTATCTTGGATAACTTAACATTAACTTGACCTATTTAGTACAAATAATTCATGAACTAGGAATGCAGGATTACGATCTCTTTATTTGCTAACAAATTAACAAAAACCATATACAAAATCTTCAAATTTTTGAAGAATTTGTACAATCTCATATAAAGAATGGAAAACCAACTAAAATAAAAATATTTATTTGTCTTTGTATTATGTTGTCAAAAATTAATCTATAAATTTGTGATTAATATTGAGTTGATTCATATTTTATTTTTGTTAGTAGAGAGCCCCATTTCAAACAAACTAGTAGATCTAACTCTACTTGTTTCATGTCATGTTTATGTCGTATTCGCATATTTTTGAAAAAAATTTGTAGTTTTTTTTTTTTTTGGTTTAACAGTTAGAGATATTCAATACAGGTTACGCGTACCACGATTAATCTTCTCTCTAATCTGGTCAAAAGCATATCCTCCACGCAAGAACCAGGGTATTCATGAGAAAATCTCTTATGATCTAACCCTAAATAATTGTCAAGATTCAAATTCAAAATTTCTGAATTTACAACTCATCCTTATTATCACTTAGTTACTATTAGAGTTTATTTTGCAGCTTTCGTGATCCTAAATGTTTTTATTATGTGAAGGGATAATAGTGACCAATCAGCCAACCTAGCAAATGTTTAAAAGGCCAATCTCCGGTTTAGAGAATCAGTCTGCTTTCTAAATCATTTTATAAGTACCTAGTCATTGAATCAGTCTCCAGTTTAGAGAATTAAGTACCTAGCCATTTTTTTTTTTTTGATCCAAAGTACCTAGCCATTGAATGGTATATTTTGCCGTTCAATAGAATGATTCAAACCCTAATGTAAATCAAGTGGTAATAGAGATGAGTTTAAAATTCAAACGTTTTACATTTGAATTTTAGTAATCTCTTGGGATCATGCTAATACCCTAGTTTTGCCGTGAATGACCTACCTTTAGCCAAACATGAGAAAACATTAGTTAAGGTGCGCGTAAATTGATATAAGCATCCTTAACCATTGAACCCAAAAAAAAAACTGCAAATTTTTCAATATTTTAGCTTTTCTTTTTATTCATCAAAATCGTGAAACATGTAAAATTTGTTTATTTTATTATTTAAACAATCAATGACTATAAATGAATTAAACCAAAATCTATGACTCTAGACCAATTTTGGTATGGTATTCACATTTTTTTGTGGATATTCGTAGACTTATAGTGAATATTAATTTTGAAACCCGAAAAAATTAATATAATTTTTAAACCTAATGAAGTGTCGAAAAGAAATTATTGAATGAGAAAATTTATCAGTTACACTTGGAATAATGTTGTTATACTATCTTCAAATGAAAAAGGGCGGACATATTACTCCCATCAAATATACGAACCAATACAAAAATTGAAAGGAATGATGAAAATTGTTAATTTTTCTATCTCTCTGTTTTTTTGCTTTGAACTTTACTTGATGAAGTAGTATGTTGCTGGAAGTGTTGAGCTCATGGCCTACACTTCCAATGGAACCCTACATGGATGGTGTCATGCTTTGTTTTGTGTTTTTGATGCTACAAGGGTGATGTCCATTGTTATTGTAAGGACTAATATATTTGTCTTGTAAATCATTTTTTGGATCAATACAAATTTTATCTTCTGAAAATAATAATAATAATAATAATAATTCTAAGAGATAACTCAAGTGGTTAGAGGGACGAACTGTAAGTCTAAAAGTCCTAAGTTCAAATTTTGGTAACTCTTTGAGACGAGGTCATGATAGATTTATTCTTCATCAATACCTTAATCTTAGCGTGGATGGTCTACCTTTAACCGGACCAGGGAGGGAACTAGTCGATGTGCACAAAAACTGGCCCAGACATCCTAGATCATTAAACCAAAAAAATGTGTGATTTTAAAGTTTTTAATTTGTACCATCAAATATTAAATTTTTCATAGTACATCTTCAATATATTAAAAATATTGTAATATGACATTTTTGGCTTGCTTTCTTTATTTTTTTTTGGTCAAAAGTCAACTCATTAACACTACCAAAAAACTAACAAGAGATTCACATTGCAACATTTTTAATAAATTAAAGATACAATGTAAAAACTTTAATCTTTAAGTTAACAAAGTAAAAATCTTAAAATCTTATAAGGTACAAAATGCAACACTTCCTTCATTTTATCCAACTTATAACTTTTTTATTGAACAATTAGATCACATAACACACATGGTGAACTGTTGCATCGAATATTTCTAGTGCGTTTGATAACGTTTTTATTTTTGTGGTGAACACTAAAAATAAAAAACATATTTAGGAGTCTTTAGGATAGCAAGATGGCCCTCAAACAAATCCCTAAATTAATCAAGTGCAATATTGTTACCCAAGGCCAAAATCAACCCTGACCCTAACTACTGTTGGAATCCAAAAAATCAACTCTAACCCTAACTGCTACTGAAATCAAATCTCCCACACACACAAAAATCAAACACATACACGCAAAGAAATTAGATGCACATACATAAAAATCACACACATAGAGACCTAGACATCAGACACACACAGAGACCCAGAAATCACACACACACGCACAAACATAGAAATCAGACACACACACAAAAGCAACGATGGAGGCAAAAATAATACACTCAAGATCTAAGATCTCTTCATTGCACAGACCAAGACGAGAGAGATGCGATGAAGAGAGACATAGAAGCAGCAATAAAAAGAAGCAACGATAAAGGTAGTGAAGGAAAGAGAGAGCAGAGATGGAGAGAGAGGCAAAGGGAGGTACATGTCTGATACAGAGAGAGGAGAGAGAAAGGAATAAGTTTTTATACTTCAACTAAAAAAGGTGTGTTTTGTTGTTTAGAAGACTCGAAACCTGAATCTCATTAACTCTTTGAGCCCCTTGTGCACTTGTTTCTATTTTCTTTGTTTCTTGCAACATCATTTTTTTTATTTCTTGTTTTTGGGTCTTGTCTTCAAAACAACTTATATGAAACAAAAACACAAACTCAAATGTGTAGTTGTTTTTGTTTTTTACAAAAAATAAAAACAAAAACAAAAAACAAAAAACACCAACCAAGCGCACCCTCACTCCAGATTAATTCCTCCTCCTACTCCTATAACCAGCTTTACCATGAAATAACCCCCTCCCCTTTTCTCCTCCTCCTCCTCCGATCCTCTATAAATATATGGAAAACCCACAGCTGAGACGGCAGATCTCCTCTCCACCAGCCACGAAGATTCACATAGCATTACCACTAACTGAACTCACATAACCACACATCCACATTTCCAGAACTGTTAATCAAGCTCTTACAACGTTGTACTTTGAGCTATCTCATAACGGGTCAGCTTGTTTTGGCTTTCTTCATTCTAGTTGAGATCTTGCTAGTCCAAGCATTGGCTAATAGATATGAAACTTCAGAACCTTTCCCAGCAAAACTTAGGGTTCGAAGCTTGGTTCCATCGAAAAAGATGGCGATAACAATTGCAGATCCGCTCGTATCAGTTGGAAGTGCGGAGTCATCACCACCACCATCAGCGGAGGAAGAGGAGAGAGAGATGTGCAGCAGAAGCTCTGGAGAAAAGAAAAATTAGAAGACACCACTCCACTAATAAGTCAGTGATTGGTGGGGGTGTCATAATTGGTGGACTTGTAACGGCCATTTTTGCCACAGTTTACCGCTACATTGGAGTTACAAGAAGACAAAATGCTGATAAGCATTAAGCTATCTGATCACAACATTGAGTTTCTTTAAGATTTTACGATTTTAAATTTGTTAGTGTAATATTTGATCAAAAAAAAATTGTTAGTGTAATAGTTAGTTTGTGATTGTTAAATTTTACTTCATTTGCTGATACAAATTGAGACCTTTTGAAATTAGTTGCTTTTAATTTGTTCATACCATGAGTGCCTTCTACGAGGTGCCTTGATTTCACATCTTAAACTTCAAAAATTTATAATTATCTGAAAATCTGAAGTTTCAGATAAACCATGAGGAAGAATATCAAAATAGGACACTACCCATTAACACACATAAAATTATTAAAGGGTTTTGGTCTTCATTAAGTCACATGTTTTATAAATATAATAGTTATTGGCCGTGCCTAAAGGCAAATCATGGAGTAATAAAAAAAATAGTCAACAATAAACATATTTGTATTTACACTCAAAATTAAATCATAAACATAGAGAAAACAGAAATAAATGTAATCATTGATAGTAATAAGAGTGAGTGGTGGTGGACGGCAATGGTGGTGATGAAAAACAGTGATGGTTGTGGTAGGTGTGATGACTGTGGTAATGTTGGCAGTTATGGGTGACAACGATGATGATAATGATGAGTTTAGGGTAACAATGGCGGTGGTGGTAGTGACAGTCATAGGTGACTACGGTGGTGGGTGTGGGTATAGGTGGTGGTGGGCGACGATGATAGTGGTGGTGGTGGGCAGTGACGATGGTGGTGATAGGCAACGACAGGTGTTTCTGGGCAATAGTGTGATGGATGATGACAAATAACGGCGGTGGTGATAGATATGGTGGGGGTGGTGGCAATGATATGCGATGACGGGTGATGGCGATTGGTGGTGGTAGATGTGGGTAGGGGTGGGTGATAGTGGTTGGCAGCAATGGTGGGCGACGACGAGTGGGTAACAATGGTGGTGGTGGGTGCTGACGATGGGTGACAATGATAGTGGGATAATGATAGTAGTGATAATAAATATAAGAATGAAATATCGAAGGTGGAGAGTGGTGGCGATAGACGACGATAGTAGCAATCGATGGTAAGAGGCAATTGTAGTGGTGGTGGGGGAGGCGATGGTGGCAACAACGACTGTGGTGATGGTGGTGGTGATGTAGGGTGGCAACGGTACGTGGTGGTAATGGTGGTAGTGATGGGGCGATGGGGGTGATGATGGTGGAATCGTGGCGATGGCAATAAGGTGGCAACATCGGTGATGGTGATGATAGTAGTGATGGTGACTGTAGGGCGGTGGTGATTGGGCAATTCCAAACACTACTTGTTTTTAAACTACTAATGAGAAATTACAAGTTCTAAAAAACACTTTTAAAAAGTTACCTCTATATACTATTAAGGACATCTTTTTCTCATATAATTTTGGGTGTTGATTTTAGTCGTCAAATTAACTTTAAAGTAAAATTTAAAGAGATAAAGTAAAATTTAAAGAGATCTCAACCATAAAAAATAAAAGTCATTTTCTTTATCTTTTTATATTTGAATTATATTTTACTTTATTATATAGATGGATCTGACACGACACAATTAATAAATAAATCAAAAATGGATGATACGACACTAGTATAAGATGATACTCATTTATATACCAATTATATACAATTTATATATGACACTAATCCAATATAACAAAATTTTTTATACATAAATTAATAAACAACTCAAATATATGTAAAATATTTTTTAATACAAATCCATTAAATCTTAATACCAACTCGTCTCAACTAAGGGCAGAGCTAAGATTTTTGTTTATCTCGGGCTAAGTTAAGCATTCATACGACTAACAAAATACAAATGTAAACTCATAATCATATATACAACAAATACAAATGTAAAACTCATAAACACTTACTAATGAAATTGGACTCTTCGATCCTTACTAGAACAAAAGGCATCTATTATTGAATCTGTATCGATTGCTTCCGTTATTTCTCTTTTAATGTAAATAACTAATGAATCAGTCAAATACTCATCTTCCATCTTGTTACGAAGAGTACTTTTGACATATTTAATAGCTAAAAATGTTCTTTCTGAAGTTGTCGTAGAAACGGGAAGAGTTGAAATTGGACTCTTCGATCCTTACTAGAACAAAAGGCATCTATTATTGAATCTGTATCAATTGCTTCCGTTATTTCTCTTTTAATGTAGATAACTAATGAATCGGTCAAATACGCATCTTCCATCTTGTTACGAAGAGTACTTTTGACATATTTAATGGCTAAAAATGTTCTTTCTGAAGTTGTCGTAGAAACGGGAAGAGTTAAAATAAGACGAATCAATCGATTAATCAAATTGTAGGACTCTGCCTTATTTGTTTCTACTAAACCACGACATTATTCTGAAATTGTAGGCATACTTTGAAACCTCTTATGGCGAACCACATCAAATGATCCAGTTGATTTTTTGAAGAATGAAAAAATTATTTTTGCTCTTATTCGTTCTTGATTTTTCATCCTAATAAAGTAGAGAAGACCTGAAAATTAGAAAAACAAATCAACAAAACAACAATGATTCTATTATTTTAGTTAACAAAAAAATCAACAAAAAATCAGAGAAAACAACTCAAAATAACGTCAGAATATATGATCAACAAGGCAAGAAATGAGTCATTGTACCTTACACAGTTTAGGCGTAATCCTTATTTGTGGTTCTTAGAAGAAGATTAGTCGAGTAGAACTAGATACAGACAAAATCGAGGTGTTTGGCATTGGCGTAATTCCCTCTCTATTCTGATCAAAATAGAAATAGAGAACCCCGAAAAATTCTTTCTTTTCATGATTATTGGGGTTTAAGCCTTAAAAGTTTTGAAAATTTGAGCTAATGATTAGTAATTTTGTGGACTGATACTGATAACTTTGTATAAAAATGATAAATTTTTTTCTTAACTTTAGGTTTCAATCCACCGTAGATCGCTAATAACTCCGTCCTCGACCTCAACATGATTAAATGCCTAACCATGAGAGACCAAAAGTCAAATCCTAACATCCCTCCACGGTAAACTATGCACGGCTAGACCATTCTAGACAGTTAAAGTTAATTTTTTGATATATAATTAAAAAAAAATGCTGATCTCTTTTAAACTGACGCTTTGGTTAAGACTGATTGAACCTACATGATTAAACATATTTAGTAGGCTTTAAATTTGCTGTCAAAAAACTTATCGTCAAATGCTCCCTAAGTTGTGGCACTTGTGCCAGAAACGAATTGAGCAAATACTATATATATATATATTTTTGGGGAGGAAAAGAGGAAGGGGATTTAAACTCTTGACTTTAAGAAAGCAAAACATTTACGAGATAAGGAATATCATTGGAGTAAATACTATAAAAGATTTAAAAAATTGACTTAAAATTTTGATATATTTGTCATTGATTTAATTATAAATTTTATTATTTATTAAGGCCTACTACTCATTTATCAAATCAAATTTTTAAGTCTATTTATTATTTTTCGAACGGATTTATTCATAGTCATGAGTTTTTAATTTCTTGCGCTGTGTTTGGCTTCCATTAATTATGGAAAGAAAAGAAAAATGGTTAATGGAGCATGTGGACCGTTTCTAGCACTTTGCTTTCCTTTTATCTGATATTAGCTTAAGCCAATAATTAAAATGGACAGAGAAGCCAATAGGATACCTTTCTCCACCTTTTAATTGTGAGTAAAGTGAATTTGTTTGTAAAATTTGGGTTTCACATGCCATTGTGGAGATTTTTTTATTATTATTATTTTAATGATTCTACTATTATAATAACCGGTTTGCCGAACCCATTATATGATCCATTGGACTCGTGAAATGAAACTTATTGGCGAACCCTATATGATCCAACTCTCCAGATCCTAGGTATACAAACAAAGTAAACAAAATAATAAATCAACATCATTCTTTACCAAAGTAATTGCTAGATCAAATGTGTAAAATGGACAAAGGTTTAGCAAAGACAAGTGGGTGGAACTTGGAAGTGCCCACTGCTGAAATATTTATATATCTATTTGAATTTAAGGGAAACCATTCTATTCCTAATTAATGGTCTGTTGGATCAGCTGGCTCACAGTGCTAGGGTCCCTGAACTGGTTCTGCTATTCCTTTCCATCCATGAGTGATAGATATATAGTAGCTGACAAACCCAATCTACACAACATTATTGTTAATTCTTTCTTTTCCAATTAATTGTAGCCCATCCCATAAATTCATCCCATTTTTTAGGTGCCAAACATGCCCTGATAAGGAGAGGATAGTGCCCCATAAAGTGGATGAGTAAACATATTCTGGGTGTGTACTGTCAAAACCAAACCAATTTATGCCAAGCTACAGTATTGCCCCTGCTCCTAATGACAATGGAGGTGGCTGTTAGTTTCCATAAGACATCTTCCGTTGCAGCATTAGGAGCATAAGCTGGCATTCCCCCCCCCCCCCCCCCCCCCCCCCCCCCCCCCCCCCCCCCCCCCCCCCCCCCCCCCCCCCCCCCCCCCCCCCCCCCCCCCCCCCCCCCCCCCCCCCCCCCCCCCCCCCCCCCCCCCCCCCCCCCCCCCCCCCCCCCCCCCCCCCCCCCCCCCCCCCCCCCCCCCCCCCCCCCCCCCCCCCCCCCCCCCCCCCCCCCCCCCCCCCCCCCCCCCCCCCCCCCCCCCCCCCCCCCCCCCCCCCCCCCCCCCCCCCCCCCCCCCCCCCCCCCCCCCCCCCCCCCCCCCCCCCCCCCCCCCCCCCCCCCCCCCCCCCCCCCCCCCCCCCCCCCCCCCCCCCCCCCCCCCCCCCCCCCCCCCCCCCCCCCCCCCCCCCCCCCCCCCCCCCCCCCCCCCCCCCCCCCCCCCCCCCCCCCCCCCCCCCCCCCCCCCCCCCCCCCCCCCCCCCCCCCCCCCCCCCCCCCCCCCCCCCCCCCCNAAAAAAAAATACAACAACATTTTGAGAGGCTAAGGAATTAGAGTTAGGCCACTTCCAGTTGTTGTTGTGGATGCTTCTGCTCACATAATCTTCCTTTAAAAGTTCAAACCCATAAAGTACTTCTAACGATTGGTTTGATAAGGGGTCTATGGGGATGCCGATTGTCAAACCACAAATTGTGCCAGTTCCAAGAGCTAGAATGAGTGGGCCTCACCTCCCATAAGCTTCTATTCCTTAAGTGGTACGCATGGACCCATTGAACCCAAAGATTCTTCTTATCAATAAATAGTAAACAAATGTACTTTGCCATTAGAGCTAAATTCCAGCCCTTGATTCTCCTTAAGCCCCAGCCTCCCTCACATTTCGGTTTGTATACTTCCTCCCAATGATCTGTTCTAGCAGATATAGATGAGAAGCCCAATAAATATGTTTACTGCTTATCACAGATATAATTAGGAGTAGTCTCTATCAGCGTACAACATAGATTTAGGCCAAGGGAGGGACGTAAACCACCAAAATAAGAAAAGAATGCAATTGGAAAGATGGGATATGCCGTGTTTTAGCTTGAGTTTCTGAAATATAGAACACTCTCAATCCCATATGTAATAAAACCTTCACGGTCAAGGTATAACGTACAATAAATTCTTGTAAGCAATTCATTCAGTAGGCTGTACAAAGCAATTCTTACTTACTAGCAGCGATGATTCTTACACGACTTATTGCAGATTCAGTGATCAGAACCAGCAGCCTATAGAACAATCGGCTTGCAGAATAAAGAGTCTGCATGATCATGGACCCATGAAGCCCTGTTATCATGTCCATGGTCATAAATAGCTTGAGCAGTTCTTGAGAGGTTACAGCAGGCTTTGATGGTTGATAGTGGTAGTGTGTTTGGGGCCATTAGCTCCGCATTTAGCTCTTTCCATTGGTTTTGAATGAGCTGCTTAATGTGTGTCCTCGCTTCAGCTTCGGATGAAAGTTTCTGCTCTTTCATGAAGCATTCGATGCTCGATGCTACATCACCCCGTTGTTGCTCCTCCTGATAATATAAATTCTCACATCAATACATTTTTGTGTATATTGCTTAAATACCCTTATACTATCATTTCCAAAAATAAAGCAAATCAAACCCTTATACATAGTGATATTAATGCAAGTGAGCAATCAGCTGAGAAAAATTACTACGAACCCTCGACAAGGAATTTGAGATTTAGTTGAACTGTGATTGATTAGCAAATGTTTATATGAAAGTAGGAAAACTCATTTGGGACTAAAGTATTCGATTTAAATATATGCTAAATAAGTTTCCAAATAATGAAGCAGATATATATGTAATAATCGATTGTTGGGAAGCAATGGGAGCTTCACTAACTGTAAATGCAAGTTTTTATTATCCTTGGAAAACAAGTATTGGATGTGGTTGAGTTGACTGAGTCAATATCTCCTAATCCAGCTGGTGTAATTAGTGTTAAAATTATGAATTGGATAGAGGTTTCCATGACTTTCTGATTGGAACTTATGTATAGATGCTCTTTTGATTTCCTGATTATTTTCCTACAGTCTGTTATAGAAAATTTGTACGATATGGAATTTTCTTTACGTACCGTGGCGGTTTCCAAGTCATCCCGAAGTCGAAGAATTCTTCCTGAGCATGAGAAGAGCTTAGGATATCCCCTGCAGGTCCCTCTGTTAATTGATGCCCCATGAGAAAGAAAGTATGCTCCAAGGCCATGTATGTCCCTGCTGTTGTGACCCCGTTTTCTAAATATTCGTTGAGGGTAGGTACATATCTTCTGCTGTACCAAGTCGCTTCAACTAAAAAGGCTTCAATCATGTCTATCCACTGCAAGTTTTTCCCCAATTAGCATAACAATTATCTTTAGAAAACAATGAAAGAAGCACTTGTTTGACATAAGTTACCGTTCTTTTAAGGTGTGAAACAATGCAGCTTCCATGTTCTTTGAGGACCCTATAGCCAATTTCTTTGGTAGTGTTGTATAGTGCCATGTAACATATCTTCATATATTGTGGAAGCTCCTCCATTGCACCAAGATCCCATCTACAAATTTCAATTTTGACAAGTTAAATAGAGACCACCACAGCTCAAAACTCTTATTCCTCCAGATGAAGACAGCACCAAACCTTCGAATTGCGTTGGTAAAGAGAACAAGTTCACTCAATGTTCCATAACTGTCAAAGATATCATCAATGACTAGCAAAATGGCAACATTTTTGGCGAGTTCAATTCGGCAAGTTGATTGGTGTGGCTTCGGAAAAATCCCCACAGTCCAAAGAAAACATTCCAGCGGTCGATCACGAGCAAAAGTAAGCTTATCACAGAGACCCAATTCTTTCCACCACCTAAAAGTAGATTCAACATGTCGTGTAACTTATTTGGATATATGATTCTAAAAAAACAGTTATATATATTAAAAAAATAATAAAATTTGTTTGGCCAATAACCCTAAAAACAATGAAAACAAAAATGTGATAGTGCCGAAAGTGTGGTGGTGGTGGTGAACGTTTCTAGATTCTGGGAAGCTTATTTTTAAAACATACATAACACTCTAAACTTTCAAATAGCGTTTCTCCTGTTTTTATGAGATGCAAACTAATCCAGGCCTGTTTTCGAACCTAGGACTCTTAGCGCCCTAGTAACAAAACAAAAAAACCCTTACCACTACGCACTAGACCCATCCTCTAAATCAAACTTGTGAAGTAGTGTCTATGGGGAATATCATCAAACACTTGCCTGACTAGCTCAGCCAACTCTGTTTGGTGCAGTGATTGGACCAGGTTGAAATCCAACTTTGCTAGTTCTAGCACATCGGAGCTCCAGTTGCTTTCCTTGACATATTGATCGGTGTAATTTTTGGCTTCTAACCTTGCCATTCTCAAGTCAATCGGAAGCTCCAAAGCCTGGCCAATATGTCTACCAAACTCCGGTGTCAAGTGTGGCATTACGTCCTTCAGGCGAGTTGTTGTGAATTCCATGGCTTGCGTCAATGTGTCTTCACCATTTGTTCCCAAAAACGACGCCTCGTATAGACTCAGCATCCCATTGGTGTCACCAGTCAAGGATTCCCTGAATTTTCCTTTCTCATTGAGAAATATATCAAACACATCTGCAGGAAAACCAAAATAATTGACAGTACTGAATCCATCACTATTTTATAGGGTATTAAAAATCACCCGATCTTTTAACTCAACGCCAAATTTAGGGGTGCAAATCGCGCTGTTGGATGGGTTGAGAAATTAATCTAATTTCACTCCAATTCTAAGTATATAATTTTTAATCATAGCCCTAATTTTAATCCTACCTTAACTGGAGATACTCAACTTGAGTATTGTCCAAATTTAATTCGGATGGGCTCAAATTGAATTCGAATTAAAAATCGGGTTGGGTTCAAGTTACTTAATTCGAGTTAATAAAAGAGGGAGAAGTGACGAGTGAGAGAGAGAGTCTGAGGCCAGATGAGAGACGAGTGACAAGTGAGAGAGGGACTTAAGAGTGATAGAGATAAAAAGTTGAAGTGAAATGAAAGTTTGGATTCTAAAAAGAGAAGACAAATAATAACTTTAATTAAATATATTTATATACCTGATTTAATAATCGGATTCAACCCGATTTTAATATTCGGGTTGAATCCGAGATCTAAATCCAAGGCTTGTCCGAATTCAATTTGAATTGAAGTTTTCTTAGCCCAAGTCCAACCTAAGTATTAAAAATTCTAACTCAAATCCTGTTTTTTTCAAGTTGGTCTCGGGTTGAATTCGGATTAATCCGTCCAAATTACACACCTAACCAAATTAGAAAGTTTGTGTCTTTTTAATTCTACATACATCATAATCGAAACGAATTAGATATGCATAAAGCCAATCAAAATAAATACACAAAAAATTTCATTTATATACCAATTATATATTATTCATACATGACCTAATATAAATTAACATCATCGGACACAATTGACACACCTACTCTTTTAAATGACAGTTAGGGCAATGGACTACATTTGTCCAATATACAAACTTTTGAAGACGAAATTGAAGATTGTTTTAGACTAGTTACGATAACTAATTGAGGGAAGGAGAAGTTGGGCCGAGCATGAAAAAGTTAGTCCAAAGGATGGATCGGGATAGGGCTAGTCACTGTCCATGGGCTAGTATTTGCTTAATTACTTGATATTTTAAAAAAAATCTTTTAGAAGTCGGTATATCAGATTAAACATAATTATAAAAAAAAATACATAGAATAAAATATTTTTGAAAAAAAATACACAGCTGAGATACAAAAACATAAATATCCATTTTGTAAAATTTTCTTTCCTAAAAACTTTAACAAGGCATTTATTAAACGCTGAAATTTAGGATAATTTAATTCAAAATCTCTTATCTTTAATGCACCTTAATTCATGAGTATTTTTTTTTTTTGAAAGTTGTTTTATTTTCAAATTATATTTTTGTATTCAATATGTACTACTACTAGTTTTATAGGAGAATTTTAATATTCCGTTTATTTTAGAATATATCACTTGTTTGAATTTCAAAATTTATTAATATTCGAATTCTATAATAGTGTAACAAAAACAGTGTAACAAATATATTGTAACAAAGATAGTCTAACAATACACTGTAACGAAAACAATGTTCAATAGTTTTGTGCATGTGATAACAAATTCAAAATAAAGATGAACTGTTTTGAATGAAATTATATCAAAATATATGTTTGACAAAATATAAGAATACAATATTTTGTATAAATAATTTGTTACACTGATATTAGTACACTATTACACTGATCAGATATTAATATAATTTGAAAACAAAATCCCTTTCCAAAAAAAAAAATACGCATGAATCAAAGTACATTAAATATAATTTGAAAATAAAAAAAATATTCATGAATCAAGGGAGAACATACAAATATGGAATATTAAAGTTCTCCCATAAAAATTAAGAAATGTTTTATACACCACTTTTCAAAGAAAATGCACATGGATCAATAGAGGACAAAAATATCACAAAAATCAGTAAAAATCAAATAATATACTTAAATACAAATAAGTATCAAAATTAAGGACTTAATTACAGAATATTTTTTTCTGTGTATTTTTTTACAATTAAATCTAATTTGGTGTACCCCTTCCAATTTCCCCTTTTAAAAATGGAAATAATTTTTTTCACACTTAAAGTAAGGGAAACACATATTATGCAAATAGAAAAAATAAACCTATATGCGAAAAAAATTATTCCAATTAGGACAGGGTTCCATGAATTGTGGTTATGACTGCCAACAGATCGAATCTTAATTTATCCCGACACGAGTTCAATATATGTGGCTAATTTCTGGACTCAGCTCAAGCAACAAGCTGAAAACCCAGCTAACGGCTCTTATTTTTGGGCCTGCATCAAATCAGCTAGTTTNTCAATATATGTGGCTAATTTCTGGACTCAGCTCAAGCAACAAGCTGAAAACCCAGCTAACGGCTCTTATTTTTGGGCCTGCATCAAATCAGCTAGTTTGACTTTGCTTTACTGATTCCTCAACCGGAGGAATGACTACGATGCCTAAGGAGGTATCCTACCAAATATTACAAAATTTTAAGGTTAAATTAAACCCTTTTGAGATCTAAGTTATAACTCTAAAAATAAGATCAATCACAAAATATTATAATTAATCATAAAAAATATAATTTTTAAAAGTAACAGATATATTTTTCAAAATACGAAATTATAAATATGTGTGACTGATCACATCATTTCATGACTTTTGGAACTATACAAATAAAAAATAAAAATTCAGTACTATTGTCCCTTTTTATTTTTATTTTTGATATCTAATTCTAGCAAATTCACTGAACCGGCCATGAGTGAGAATGAATGATTAAATACTAAAACAATAATGCTATCTCTAAAGATAGAGTAAATTATAACAAAGGAGGATACGCCAGCAAAGGTACACATCCAATTATCTAAAGAAGAGAAAAGAAGGATTAGGGCACCATGGTATAGAGCAGTCATAGTGAAACAGTTTGGGAAAGCGATGGGTTTTTTCCAGTTTTCATCCAGATTCAAGAGCATTCTGAACCCGGTGAGAGCTATGGATGTCCTGGATTTGGGACTTGACTATTATATGGTTAAGTTTGAAGCAAAGGAAGATTATGTGAAGGCTCTACATGAAGGTCCGTTCTTCATTAACAGGCAATTTCTCTCAGTGCGTAAATGGGAGGCTGAATTTAAACCGTCTCAAGTAACAGTCACCACTACAGCAGTATGGGTAAGGATTCCCGAGCTTCCAGTGGAATATTATGACCCGTTGATCCTCCAAAAGGTGGGGAATAAGCTGGGAAGATTGCTGAGGATAGACACACACACCTCTAAGAAACGCGGGCCGGGGGGGGAGGTTTGCTAGAATCTGTGTCCAAATAGACCTTAATCGACCTCTCGTTTCCAGTATGAAGATTGGAAGAGTGAGTTTCGCTATGTTGTATGCAAGAATTGGGGATTTATGTTCTAGTTGTGGGTTGTTAGGCCACTGTATGTCCTACTGCCCTACAGTACTGAATGGAGAGATGAATAAGTTTGCAGGAGGAAATGAATGCTAAAGAGGGGATTGGGGGAGAACGGAATATGGCTGAAAGAGCAACCGAATGTGATGAGGTGAGAAGAATAGGGGAAGGAAATTGGGAGCAGTATGGGGAATAGACACTGGTGAGGTACCCGAGACAAAACAAGGGGAGAGGATTACCAAACAAAGGAGTACAGGGAGCATCATATAAGATTAATGCAATTGTAAGATAGGAAAACACTAAGGGCTGATGGTAGCCATGAGAAACAGGGGAGTCAAAGAAGGATGTCACTTGGACCAATTGGGACAAGACAACTGGCAAACCCACAGGTCAAGGTGGCTAACTCAGTTGGCAAAGAAAATGTAAGACAAAGCAATAATGAGAAGAAAGAGAGTCAAGCACGCCAGACTGCAGTTTATCAGAAAAAAAAAACAAAAAAAAAGATACAAAACATCTGTCTTTCATCAGTAGAAGAGCAATTTCGTGAGAACCAAAGGCAAACACGACTTGCGAGGGAGAAAAAGAAAGGAAAAGCAGAGGTGACCAAAGTACTGGTTGGGATGGAACAAAATAAGAACATTGAGGAACTAGAAGGAACATGAATGGAAACCAATCGAAGAGTCAAATCAGACTCAGAGGAAAAGGTTACAATAGTAATGAAGGAACAATCCAAAAGATCAGCAATGGATATGATGAAAGCAGAACAGGCAGTAAGAAATCACGAGGAAGAGATAAGCTCACAACAATCAGTTGAGAATGAGGAAGAAAGGAAAGATGGAAAACCAAAGAAGCTACTCTTCAGGTTTCCCCCAGATTATGAACCTATTAGAGGCACCATTCCCATGATTACTAAAGTTTAGGAACCAGGAGATACAAATGGACCAAGGAATGATCAGATCGTTGATCTGGGATCCCAACCACCTGTGGGGTTGGTATGATCCAGAAAGAAGGAGGACTTGGGACGACATATTGAAACTAATCAAGGAATGGATGGAAAAGGCGAGGGGATGGATCTCGATGGGACAACAATAGACAGGGGAATGGAATCTTGGTCCTCCCAACCAGGCAGTGAATCAAGTGATGAAGAAAGAGGTAGAAAAGCTAGGAAAGATTAACAGAGGCAATCCAGCTAGGAGACTTTCCAATAGAAAACAAGATACTAGGGCACGTAGACAAAGTACTCTTGGTTTACAGTCCAAAGGGACTTCAAAAAATGTGCGTACTCGTCAAGGGATCTCTGATGTGGGGGTCTGGAGAGAGGGTTTACAGATTGAAAAAAGGCTCCAATTGGAACTCAAAGAAGAATGGAGGGAATAGATCCAGCCGGGAGGGAGACAACACTGGAATCGAAGAGGGCAAAGCAAGGGAGGCCCAGGATAGGCCAAACCTATGTGATGTCTGAAATGAAAGTCCTTTTTTGGAATTGTCGTGGTGCCTAGCATATGGGGTTTAAAGGAACACTTATGGACATGATCAGAACCCACCATCCAGCTATGGTAATTCTGTCCGAAACAAGGGTAAGGGNGAACTCAAAGAAGAAGGGGGAAATAGATCCAACCGAGAGGGAGACAACACTGAAATCAGATAGGGCAAAGCAAGTGAGGCCCAGGATAGGCCAAACCCATGCGATGTCTGAAATGAAAGTCCTTTATTGGAATTGTCATGGTGCCCAGCATATGGGGTTTAAAGGAACACTTATGGACATGATCAGAACCCACCATCCAACTATGGTGAATTTGTCCGAAACAAGGGGTAGAAGGTGTGAGAGCAGCTGATATCAGCATATCATTCCAACTGGATGGTGTTTATAGGGTTAATCCAATTGGCTACATGGGGGGAATCTGGATGCTGTGGAATACACAGGAGGTACAGCTGACTATACTTTAGAAGACGGAGCAGGAGATTCATGCCTGCTTTGAGGTGACTTCCTTTCCTCCCTGTATTATTTCTGCTATTTATGCTAGTCCTATTCTGGAATGCAGGAAAATTTTGAGGGAAAACCTTAAAACTATATAAGCAAAGTCACTCCCATGGCTTATTATTGGGGACTTTAACGAGATTCTTGAATCCAATGGTAAGATGGGAGGATTACCTGTTAATCATAAGAAAGCTTGTATAAAGAATGTATGGATCATTGCAATATGATGGACCTAGGCTTTTTGGGACCGAGGTTCACTTGGACCAATACTAGGGGGCCTAATGGATTGGTAATGCAAAGAATTGATTAGGCGTGGTGTAATCCAGAATGGTTGGACATCTACCCAAACACCACAGTAACCCATTTACCCAGCTGACTCTTATCACTGCCCACTGCTATTAAACATTGAAAACCAACACCAAATACAGGAGAAACCCTTTTGGTTCAAAACCATTTGGCTTGGTCCCAAGGACTTAGATGGTCTGATCCAAAATTGTTGGCAAAATGGGGAATCCTTACACAAATCATTAGGGAAACTTGCTAAGGTCTTGAAGGAGTGGAATAAAAATGATTTTGGAAATATTTTTAAAAGAAAGAGAAGTGTCTTGGCCAGGCTANGTTGGACATCTACCCAAACACCACAGTAACCCATTTACCCACCGCTGACTCTTATCACTGCCCACTGCTATTAAACATTGAAAACCAACACCAAATACAGGAGAAACCCTTTTGGTTCGAAACCATTTGGCTTGGTCCCAAGGACTTAGATGGTCTGATCCAAAATTGTTGGCAAAATGGGGAATCCGTACACAAATCATTAGGGAAACTTGCTAAGGTCTTGAAGGAGTGTAATAAAAATGATTTTGGAAATATTTTTAAAAGAAAGAGAAGTGTCTTGGCCAGGCTATCAGGAAAACAAAAACAAATCTATTTGAGCCCTAATCCCTTTTTGATGGACCTTGAGTGTAATCTAAGGAGAGAGTATCACAGAATTTTAAGGCTGGAGGAGGAATTCTGGGCACTCAAATCAAGAGTGGAATGGCTAGAAGCAGGAGATAGAAACACTCAATTTTTCCATACATCTACATTAGCAAGAAGGAAGAATAAAATTTTAGCACTAATGAATGGAATGGGTGAATTGGTCACAGAACAGTGGGATATTAGGAGGATGGTGACTGAAAATTTTAGGAATATTTTTGCACCACAGAATGAGCATAGGGAAATTCAAGATGATTTTTTTTGGCCTGTGATAAATTTCATTAATGAAAATGACATAGGCAACCTCATAAGAACTCCTGAGATGACTGAGATTAAAAATGTTGTATGGCACTTGAAACCCAGGAAGGCCCCTGGGCCGGATGGGTTTCATGTTGTTTTCTACCAGAAACAGTGGAGTATAGTAGGACAAGGAGTCAAAAGGCTCACTGAGCAAGTTTTTGAATAAGAGTCAATCAATGTTGATATTACCAAAACCCTTGTGTGTCTCATCCCAAAGATCCAGAATCCACAGAGCCTGAAACAGTATAGATCCATCAGTCTATGTAACACAGCTTACAAAGTATTGGTCAAAATTCTTGTCAATAGATTGAGGCCCTTACTGAGTGGGCTAATTCATCTATTGCAAGCCAGTTTTGTTCTGGGGAGGCAAGCAATTGATAATATAATCATTGCACAGGAAATTTTCCACACCATGACCAAAAAGAAAGGTAAAAATGGTACTATGGCCATTAAAATTGATCTTGAAAAAGCCTATGGCAAACTGCAATGGAGTTTCCTTGAAAAAGTCTCAGAAGAAGTCAACTGTCCCCAAAAAATTAGGAATATCATCATGGCATGTGTTAGATCAACACAGTTTGCTGTGCTTTTGAATGGAAGCCCTATCGAGTGGACTAAAGCTCAAAGAGGGGTAAGACAAGGTGACCCCTTGTCTCCCTACCTGTTAAATTTGTGCATGAACATTCTATCTTACTCGATTGAAAGGGTTATGGAAGAGGGTCTCTGGAAACCCTTTCAAGTAGGTAGAGGGGGAGTCAAAATTTCATATGTGATGTTTGCAGATGACCTCCTCTTGTTTGGAGAGACATCTGATGAGAACTACCATTGTATTAAAGAGACACTTGAGGCATTTTGTAGAAGATCAGGGCAAAGCATAAGTGACCAAAAGTCTAGAGTGTATTTCTCACCTAATTGTGGTCCAGAGGATGTCCAAAGATGGACTGAGATCTTAGGGATTCCTGCTACAAATGACCTAGGAAAGTATCTAGGTGTACCCCTGCTCCATAAAAAACCCACATCCAGAAACTTCCAATACCTTATTGAAAAAGTTAGGAACAAACTGAGTGGGTGGAAAGCCAAACTTCTTTCACTTCCAGGAAGGGCAACCTTGATTAACTCTGTGACTTCTGCCATTCCACAATACTATATGCAAACCATGAAAATTCCAAAAAAAAGTGTGAGGAGCTTAGTAAAATGAATAGTAACTTTCTGTGGGGGTCAACTGATGAAAGAAGGAAAATGCCTCTTGTTAATTGGGGACAGGTGACTAAACCCAAAAAATCAGGGGGATTGGGACTCAAACAAGTGGGGTTGAGGATTAAGGTAGCCCACTTCCAAGGGGAGAAGAGTGTTAAAATATAAGACATAAGCTTAATCAGGGAGGGNACAAGGTAGCCATGGCCAAACTCAATTGGAGACTTCTAAAAGATAGAGATAAATTGTAGACTAGGACCCGTGAAGCTAAATACCTAGATATGGAGGGAAATGAAAAAAGGAAGACCCATTCTTATGTCTGGTCAAGCTTGAAAGAGGGGAGGAATCTCCTCTATGATGGAATTCAATGGAATGTCCGCAATGGTCAAACGACAAGTTTCTGGTTTGATAATTGGTTGGAATGGGGTAGTCTTAGGAGAATGCTTCAGGGGCCACTTCCAAGGGGAGAAGAGTGTTAAAATATAAGACATAAGCTTAATCAGGGAGGGGGATGGGATTTTGAGAGTATGACATATCCTATACCACACGAAATAATTGAAATAATTAAAGCCACACCTATCCAGATTCACCTTGAGGGGCAGGATACATGGGCATGGGGACCTATGGCCTTAGGGATGTTTGAATCTAAGTCAGCATATGTGCTAGCACAAGATAATCCAAGTGAGTTTAAAACTGTGGCACAATGGAGTTGGATTTGGAAAACATTAACGGGCCCAAGGATACGACACTTTTTGTGGATAGCTTGTCAAAACAGGCCAGCAACCAAAAGTGTGATGTATACCTGTAAAGTTGTAAAGGACCAGACGTGCCCAATTTGCCAACAAGAAATAGAGGACACCAGCCATGTTCTGATGAAATGTGACCTTGCCAAAGGGATTTGGATTAAACTGGGGTTCCCAGCTACTCTCCTCCATACCTTCGATGAGTCACTGGGAACATGGATGAAAGTAAATGGGAAATCTAAATATTACATGGACAACTCTTTTCCTTTACACTAGTGCCGGTATATGGTAGCATCGAAACCAGTGGGTGTTTTACAATAAAACAACACCTACAGGGAAAATCACTCAACAATCCTTAGGTAGAGCGGCTGAATATTATCACCTCTACAGTCATAACACCAGACCCTTAAGATCTGAAGCATTGCTTGGTTGGAAGCCCCCGTCAGCTAGTTGGGTTAAATTGAACACGGATGGTGTAGCCCAAGGAAACCCGGGACCTGCTGGGGCAGGAGTTATCCGTAATAACACAGGAAGGCTGGTGGTGGGTTTTTACGAGAAAATTGAGATAACTACGAGCTTGGCTGTTGAATTGTGGGCTTTAAGAAGGGGGCTAAGTACTGCAATACAGGATGGAATACAAAAGCCAGAAGTGAGTGTGGATACTAGACTGGTCCTTGAGCTGGTGTAAAATTAAGATACACAACATCACATTTATAGCCCTTTAATTAATGACTGCTGGTGGCTGCTAAGACAATTCCAAGAGACCAATTTGAATCAGGAAATAAGGGAAACTAATAGGAGTGCTGATTTGCTTGCAAAGATGGGTGTTCAGTCTAGAGAAGGATGCCATGTTTTTGTTAATGCTATTGACGGTGTTGAAGAACAACTTAATGCGGATGCTATGTGTGTCTGTTACCCAAGACTGATGTGTATTACTTAATGCTTTTTTATGGCCCTTTTACCCAAAAAAAAAGAAGAGGTAGACTCACTCCTATAATAGAATTTGTTCCTAATAATTTAATATAATTTGTTAAATTAACGTATTATTTTGATTATATGCACGAACAATAGGTCACCCTCTTAGATATGATTCACTTTCAATCCAATGAAACTAATGAATTACGTCAGATTAGATTATTAGGTCTAATAGAATCTCTCTTTTTTCTTCTCTTGCCAATTAGAAAAGATTAATAGCTTAGATCTATTGTTGTACATACAAAATCAAACAAAAAAAATAAGAAAATTTTCAAATTAGGAGTTTATGAATGTCATATCAAAATTCACAACTCAATGAACCCAATTCTCCAAATCAGATTTGACATGCATGATTATCCATTAAAGGTTTATCTTGTAAGAACGTTCACCAACTTTTGGGTATTAGACATTTTATTTTTTGGTTTAATAGTCAGGGGTGTCTGAGTCAGTTTACGTGCACTTCGACTAATCATCTCTTTGGTCTAGTCAAAGGTAGGTCATTCACGCTGGGATTAGGGTATTCATGAGAAATAAATTCTTCATGGTTTAATCTCAAATATTTGTCAAAATTCAAACTCGGGACGTATAGATTTACAACTCGTCCCTATTACCACTTGACCTAGCCCTTGGGGTTTCCTTCACTAATTTTACTTGTATAAGGGAGATGCCA